AAAGAGTTCCTGCCCACGGGCTGTCCCTGGGGGTCTCCCCCGCTTTGTCTGTGCTGCCGCTTCACAGGCCTCCCCTGCTACTTGTTCCCACAATGCAGTGGGCCACGTGGTTTCTCCTTCTTCCCCAGCCGCTTTCTGTTTTTTAGCTGTGGCTTGATGCTAGTTAGACGCCTCTGCAGTCTCAGGGAAAGGATTTTCGCTCTCAGGGGGCTCCCGACTCCCATTTTGCTCTCCTTGCCGTGGCACCTGGGCGACTTCCACACTGTTGTGGTGGGCAAGTGGGAGCAACCTGCGGGGCTGGAGCCCCGCTGTCACCCACGGCCCGTGGCACGTTTCTCCCGTCCCCGGGGCACGTGGGCTCCTGTAGCGTCCCTCTGGTCGGCTGCCTGGCCATCGGTGTGTCTTGCGCATCTGCTCTTTATGGGAGGAATAGGGATCCCTAGAGGGCTCTCTGCGAGAGTGGGACTTTACCAGGGCATGTCTCTCTCCTAAGCCTCTTGCCGTCAGACATAAACTCCGTCAGCACACACTTTCAGCTCTGGGGCGAGAGGATTTTCCTCTCTGTCATGGATACGGTGTGATGGAACAAGAAAATCCCCGGCCCTTTTCCAGGCTGTCAGTTGAGAGGGGCGGCTCTTTGGCACAGCTCTGCTCCTGCACCGGAGGAATTACGGCTGCAACCCCCCCCCCCCAATAACAGCCCTCTTGTATTCTGCTTCCTGTGGATTAAAATGTTAGGCTTATGGACTGATTTGGTGAAACGAGGAAGGGGCTTGCCGCAGGGTCTTTCCTACTGAGCCAAGCCTTGAGCCGGTCCCAGTCTTAAAGTCTGGGCCTGAATACATTATAGAGACCGCGTCAATCAGCACCGCACGACTCAGATTTCCTGGGATGCTGCGGGAATGCTTTCATAGACCTCTGGGGTCCAGATGTGGAAGGCTTTTGCCGACATGGGATGAAAAGAGGAGTGGATCCAAGAGTCAAGGGGTGGTGAGCCCCCCTGTGCCCCTGGTGGCAGGCGCCACGTGGCTGCCCGTCCACCCCAGTGCTGCCGGGCCATAAGGGCATCTGTCTGGTGGCACTCTGGGTTTAGGGCCGTGATTTGTGGAAGGGCCTCTCTGCCGCTGCGTGGCCTCGGAGGGGCTCAGGAAGGGAAGGCCCGTCCAGGGCTCTGTGGGGCGGTGGCCGACTGGGTCACTCGGGGACCTCACCTCCCACCTGCTTCCGTTCCAGGCCCAGCTGCAGAGGAACTTGGACAGCGTCGTGAAAAAAAAACGGGGTTTTTTCCGAGCTTCAAAATTTCTGGAAATTTTACATTTCTACCCAGAGCGCAAGAACAGCAGCCCAGTCTCCGAGCAGGATTCTGGGATCTTGGACGTCGAAGATGAAGAGGAGGGGGAGGAGGAGGAGGCAAGTGCCTGCCAAGGGGAGAGGGGTCCGGGCCGGTGGAAGTGACCAGGAGGTGAGGGGTGGGGTGGAGGATGAGAAGAAGCCTTTCCTTTGGGTCAGGGCTTGGGTCCTCGGGGCACGCCATGGGCCACTGCCCCTTAGTGCTGCTTTGGGGACAGAGTGGCCTTTGGTCCTTTCACCGCCTCCATCCCAGCTGTGTTGCAACTTGGCCCCAAGCACCTGCAGTCCCCCCGGTTAGCCAGAGGAGGGCAGCAGATACCGTCCTTGGAGCGCAGCGTTGGTCTTCCTGCTCCTCAGTCCCGCCAAGACCAGGAACGTTCTGGGCCACCACTGGATCCCTGTTCGGTTCAGGATTGTTCATGTCAAGGGTGTGTGTGTGTGTGTGTGTGTTCCCTGTTCGTCTCTTAGTGCTGGTGGTGAGGATGGGAGGATGACCGTCGCCAGAGTTGGGGGCACGAGGCTAATTAAAAAACAGAACTCGCCCAAGGCAAGAGCACAGGCTGGATGCTGAGTTGCCCTTGTTCGCTTTTGGCGAAGGTAATGGGGCTGCATTGCCTTTGATCGTGTGCTCCTGGCCCCTGGCCTTGTGCAGCTTCCAGTTCCTCCCCCCCCCCCATGTCGAAGTGGGGAATTTGAAGTTGAATCAGGTGGCACTCCGGGGGACTTTTGATGCTCCCACCTGCCAGCCTTATTAGAGTTTGCAAGGCTCCTGTCCGTGCCCAGGGGAGTGCAAGAAGCCAAGGGGCCTGGGAATCACCCCTGTTCCCTCTCCCGCCAGTTGCCTCCCCTGGTTCCAGACACCGCCTGCCGCTTCCCTCCTTGGCCCTCACTCCCTGCTTCACGGCCAGGGAGCCCCCCCCTTTTCCTGTTGACTGACTGGTGCTCTTCTTCTTCTCCTTCTGTCGGTGGTGTCCTAGGTGCCAGGAGCCCAGGAGCTGGTGGATTTCTCGCCTGTGTACCGTTGCCTGCACATCTACTCAGTGCTGGTAAGTGTGCTTTCTTCTCTTCGCCCCTGCACAGTGAGGCTCTTGCAAGAACACCGGGGGCTGGCCCAGGATCTGGGAGACGCTGCCGGGGGACAGCTGCTCTCGTCCTGAGTTGTGATTCTGTGGGGATAAAGGAGGAGTTGAAGGAAACCACGGAAGGGTGAAAAGTTCTTGCATTTGGGTCAGAGGCTGACATTTAGCGCTAGGCTGACCCTGTCTTGGCTCTTCTGAGCAATCAACTGACTCCTGATTTCCTTGGCAGTCAATCCACAAGCATTGAAATGGATCTAAACACCGTTCTCCCACACGTCTGCCCTCCCCCTCTGCATTTTCACAGTTGTGGTGTCAGTTTCTTTATTTATTACTTATTATTATTTTCGACTTACATCCCGCCATTCTTGCACAGGCAGGCTCAAGGCGGGGTACAACAGGTTAAAATACAATAAAACCAGGGCTTTTTTGTAGAAAAGCCCAGCAGGAACTCATTAGCATAATAAGCCACACCCAACAGCAGCAACTCATTAGCGTATTAGGCCACACCCCATGCTTCCCCTTGGCTTGCCCGGGTGCCCCACATCTGCGGGGAGCCTGGGCAAGCCAGCCCTTGGAGGGAAGGCAGGCAGTTTAAAAGGCCTTCCCTTGGCTGCCCGCGCCCCGCGGCGGCGGGGGGGAGCCGGGGAAAGCCGGCTCTTGGATGGGAGGGGAGGGGAGGCAGGCCGGGGAAGGCACGTGGAGGCATTTAAATGCCTCCCCAATTCTTCCAGGCCCCCCTACCCCCCCCACCTCGGAGTCGCCGGTGTGTCTCTCTCTCTCTCCAGGCCTTCCCTCTGTAGCCAGGTACGCAGAGGTTTTGGCTGTAATGGGCGTGGCCAACTCTGGAGCCAGCCGGAACTCCGTTCCTGTGCCTTCCTGCCCAAAAATAGCCCTGAATAAAACACAGATACATAAATGCAATACCATAAAATTTATTTCTTCCACATGTGCCTTCAATACTCAGGACTTTCAAGGGTGGGTGTTGTTTGTTTATTTATTTATTTATTTATTAAATTTATACCCCGCCCAACCCCGCGATCTTGCTCAGGGCGGCTTACATAATTGGTCTATAGATGACCGTACATTCACTTAAAAACAATTTAAAATTCAATACAATAAAATAAAACAGAACATTATCCGTGGCATCACAAAATATTATCAGTGGCATCACAGCAAACCTGCTCCCCCTATTTTTTACGCATGCTTATACTGATACATCGATATCATGGCTACATTTTTTTTAAAAGCACTAAAATATCAATACAGTATTATAATTATAAGGTTCTCTGGATTCCCAATCTTTTATTTTAAAAAGTAAGTCTGTAGCCGCTTTACTCAGAGGAAAAGGCGCATCTCTGCAAGGAAGGGGGACAGATATTTACTTTTTAAAAAATGAAAACTGGGACTTCAGAGAACCTGCCTAAAGTAGTGTCACAGCAGTATATCAATATTGTAGTGCCTTTTAAAAAATGAAACTGTTTGCATCATCAAACTGCTCCCCCTCCAGGGTAGAGGGGGGAGGGGGTGAGCAGTTTGTTGATGCTAACAGTCCAATCATTGAAAAGTGGGCAGGTGGTGGGTGAGAGCAGGCAGGAGAAAGAAACCAGACAAAAACATGACCCTTGTGGGAAACGGCAGCTCAGAATTGGCGTCCAGAAAAAGACTGGGGTAAAAGTGGTCTCAGAAGAACTGTGTGTGTGTGTGTGGGGGGGGGACACCCTTAAAACTGAAGTGGAAACTAAAGGCACAAATATGTGTTCTTTCGGCTCTGCTCCTGCAGAGTGCAGGGGGTTGGACTAGATGACCTGCAAGGTCCCTTCCAACTCTAACATTCTATGATTCTATGAAATGAGGGGATAGACCAAATCAGTGTGGGGTCAGAGCCAACGAACCAATGGGGGAAAAAACATATGGAAAAGGCCCTACTGTAGCCACTCCTCTTTGTGATTTGTCTAGGAGGTTAAGGTGTCTTTCACTTCACCCGGCTGCAATGAAGTAATTTCCCAGCTACAGTAAGTGTGCCCGCAGTCCTCCTCTTGTGGCATTGCTGGAGGGCACACATTACCCTCTGGCACATCCAAGGTGTTGAAGAGGGAGCGCTGCCTCCCATCCTCATCCAGATGACTGGAAACCTTTACTTCAGTTGGTGATTTTTAAAAAATTTAAGTGAATCCAAACAAGCAGTTTTCAAGTCAAGTCCCTCAGCTGGTGGAAGTCACGCTGCGTTTTCTTTTCTCCATAGTAGTTGTCAGCAGTGTTCCCTGCAAGCTGAGTGAGTGTGAGCTCGCTCGCAGTTTTTTAGCCTCCAGCTCACACATTTTTGTCTTTGCTCAGGAAGGATGGGGCTCCGGAGCAAACTCATTTATGCAGCAGCCAAATCACTCGCTCACAATTTTAATGCCAGGAGCTCACAACGTAGAATTCCTGCTCACAAGACTCCACAGCTTTGGTTGTCAGCCTAAAATGAAAGGGAAATGATGCAAGCCGGGCAAAATGTAAATGTTGCACAGTGAAATAAGAATGTTTGTGTTTGTGTGTGTGTGAAGTGCCATCCGGTGTCTTCCAGCTCATGGTGACCCCATGAATTCGTGGCCTCCAGAACGTCCTCTCGTTAACGGCTTTGCAAACCGAGGGCCTTTGTGGCTCCCGTGACGGAGTCCGTCCATCTCAGGCTGGGTCTTCCCTTTTCTCCTGCGTACTTCCACTTTTCCTAGCATGGTTGTCTTTCCCAGTGACTCTTGTCTTCTCATGATGCGACCCAAGTACCACACCCCCAGTTTAGTCATGGTTGCACTCAGCTTCTAGGGAGAATTCAGACTTGATTTGATCTAGAACCCACCAGCTTGTAATTTCGGCTGTCCAACAGTATCTGTAAAACTCTCCTCCAACACCCCGTTTCAAAGGAATCCGCTTTCTTCCTCTCACCTTTCCTCTTTGAATGCAAGGGGCGTCAAGTGAGAGAGACGCAAGTCCACAATGTCCTCCAACACCCCGTTTCAAAGGAATCCGCTTTCTTCCTCTCACCTTTCCTCTTTGAATGCAAGGGGCGTCAAGTGAGAGAGACGCAAGTCCACAATGTAGTCCTGTTGCAGGTCATTCAGCCTCCAATTCTTGAAGCTGCTGGCTTGACTGGGGTCTGTGTGTGTGTGTCTGGTATGGTAAAGAGAAGGTGTTGGGGGGGGACATGATTCCCCCAGGCTGTGCCAGGATGTACTGGGCCGATGGAAGCTCCATCATCCTTTTGTGGAATAAAGATAAGATAAGAGGGAAGATAAGAGGAAAGGAGTCGGGAGCTTCACCAAGGAAATGACGACATTTCACAGGGTTGTGAAGAGAAGTAAGATAGCCTTATTCTAGGCCCTGCAGCGGATCTAGTAAAGCATTTGACAAAGTTTCTCATGATATCCTTGAGGATGTTGGTTAAGTGTGGGCTGGATGGTGCAACCGTTGGATGGGTTCATGGTTGAAAAATCCTATCCAACGAGTGCTCATCAATGGCTCTGCGTCTACGTGGAGGGAAGTCTCCAGTGGAGTGCCGCAGGGCTCGGTCCTCGGCCCGGTGTTGTTCAATGTTTTTATAAATGACCTGGAGGAAGACATAGAGGGGATGCTTATCAGATCTGCAGATGACACGAAGCTGGGTGGGATTGCTAATTCTGAAGAAGACAGAGTCAAGATTCAAAATGATCTAGATAGGCTGGAACAGTGGGCTGAGACAAATAAAATGAATTTCAGTAGAGATAAATGCAAAGTCCTACACTTAGGTACAAAAAATTCAAAGGCACAGATATAGAATGGGAGGGACTTGGCTTGACAGCAGCACATGTGAAAGGGATCTAGGTGTAAACGTGAGCCTGCAGTGCGATGTGGCTGTGAAGAAAGCTAATGCAATCTTAGGATGCATTAACAGAAGCATTGCGTCCAGATCACGGGAGGTGGTAGTTCCACTCTATTCTGCTATGGTCAGGCCTCACCTGGAGTCCTGTGTCCAGTTTTGGGCACCACATTTTAGGAAGGATGTTGACAAGCTCGAGCGTGTCCAGAAGAGGGCAACCAGGATGGTGAGAGGGTTGGAATCCAAGTCTTGTGAGGAAAGGCTGAAAGAGTTGGGTCTGTTTAGCCTTGGAAAGAGAAGGCTTAGAGGGGACATGATTGCAGTCTTCAAGTAGTTGAAGGACTGCCATCTAGAAGATGGAGCAGATCTATTCTCTCTTGCTCCGGATTGCAAGACTAGATGTAATGGGTGAAAATTACACGGGAGTCGTTACCGGCTAATTATCAGGAGAGACTTCCTAACTGTAAGAGTGGTTGAGCAGTGGAATGGGAGGTGGTGGGTGCTCCTTCGCTGGACGTTTTCAAGCGGAGGCTGGACGACCATCTTTTGGGTATGTTGTAGGGCTATCTTTCGGCTCTGCTCCTGCAGAGTGCAGGGGGTTGGACTAGATAGCCTGCAAGGTCCCTTCCAACTCTAACATTCTATGATTCTGTGATCTCTCATACGATCAGCACAGAAGCAGTTTGCTTGTGGGGAACCAGTACACAACTGATGCTGCAAATTATAGTGTCTGGTTGTACTTAATGGAACCCAGAACCTGAAGACGATGGGTTCCTCCCTTGTGGCTAGTACAGAGAGAAAACCAACCTGGGGAGGAGAGATAGGTGTGGGGTTGCCACGAAAGGGACCAGGAACTGTGGAGGAAAGTAGGGGAAGGGAGTTCAGGACCAGAAGGACGGATCTTGCACCATGGAGGCTGGACATGCGTCCAAGCATCCAACAGCATCTAGTTAGTTAGAGTAGGCAATCTATATCTGTCTCCTACCTGCACTCACCAGCATGTATTTCATAAGAACACAAGAACATAAGAGACACCCATGTTGGATCAGGCCAAAGGCCCATCCAGTCCAACACTCTGTGTCACACAGTGGCCAGAAATACCAGGTGCCATCAGGATGTCCACCAGTGGGGC